ATCGTTCCGTCAGGTACAAGGTGTGTATACATCCGACTCGGAATGTGTGAGTATATAACGTCAATTCTTATATCGTTCCGTCAGGTACAAGGTGTGTATACATCCGACTCGGAATGTGTGAGTATATAACGTCAATTCTTATATCGTTCCGTCAGGTACAAGGTGTGTATACATCCGACACCTTGAATGTGTGAGTATATAACGTCAATTCTTATATCGTTCCGTCAGGTACTGAGTCGGATGTATACTGTGTATACCAACCTCTGAACTTCCACCAACAACAACATCTCTCTTCACCGTCAGGTACAAGGTGTTTCCTCCTATCTCTGCATACTGCCAAGAAAATCCACAGATGTAACCATTCACAGTTATTTAATATTTATTTTTTTTTACAAAAAACTAATAAAATATGTTGATAAAATTGGAAATATGATATCACAATCACTAAAAGTTTACGGGCAGGAAGTCACGATACATTTTGTGAAATATGATATCACAATTACTAGAAGTTTACGGGCAGGAAGTCACGATACATTTTGTGAAATATGATATCGCAATCACTAGAAGTTTACGGGCAGGAAGTCACGATACATATTGTGAAATATGATATCGCAATCACTAGAAGTTTACGGGCAGGAAGTCACGATACATTCTGTGAAATATGATATCACAATCATTAGAAGTTTATGGGCAGGAAGTCACGATACATTTTGTGAAATATGATATCGCAATCACTAGAAGTTTACGGGCAGGAAGTCACGATACATCTTGTGAAATATGATATCACAATCACTAGAAGTTTACGGGCAGGAAGTCACGATACATTTTGTGAAATATGATATCACAATCACTAGAAGTTTACGGGCAGGAAGTCACGATACATTTTGTGAAATATGATATCACTAGAAGTTTATGGGCAGGAAGTCACGATACATTTTGTGAAATATGATATCACAATCACTAGAAGTTTATGAGCAGGAAGTCACGATACATTTTGTGAAGAATTACTATTACTTCTTCCTTCAGACGTGGCCATCTATTGGCTAATAATCAGGGCATCGTATGATTACATAACACATACCTACCTTCTGTTAATAATAACTGAAGGTTTCCAACTTGTATTTCCAATCATTTTGACTAAAGATAAACTATAGTGTGTGATGTAACAGTCACACGATATTTGTTGTACAAAGTGTTTATTGTTGTAATAATAATAATTGTAAACAAATAATATCAATGTATACTGACTTGTGGTACAAACATTCTGAATTATCAAGTTAAGAAAAAGTGAGGATTAGTAGATGTTGTTATTATTACTTATGTAGATTTTACCCTTTTGGCTTTAATGTATCGTGTCCCACCGTGTCTGACTGGGTTCACCAGTCAGCAGGTAAACTGTCCCACTGTGTCTGACTGGGTTCACCAGTCAGCATGTAAACTGTCCTACAGTGTCTGACTGGGTTCACCAGTCAGCAGGTATGTTGTCCCACTGTGTATGACTGGGTTCACCAATCAGCAGGTAAGCTGTCCCACTGCGTCTGACTGGGTTCACCAGTCAGCATGTGAACTGTCCCACTGTGTCTGACTGGGTTCACCAGTCAGCATGTGAACTGTCCCACTGTGTCTGACTGGGTTCACCAGTCAGCATGTAAACTGTCCTACAGTGTCTGACTGCATTCAACAGTCAGCATGTGAACTGTCCTACAGTGTCTGACTGCGTTCAACAGTCAGCATGTGAACTGTCCTACAGTGTCTGACTGCGTTCAATAGTCAGCATGTGAACTGTCTCCTGTATTTCATCTTTGTGTGCTTTTCGTTATTTGTTACTGAATTTATTTTTCTGTATGAATATGAAACAAGATTGCCACAACCTACCTTGTGACAATGAGACTGGAAAAGATAAAACAAAACCGTACCTCTTTTTCTGGACAAGTACAAGTGTCTCCACCAGCTACCAGGAAATCGTCTGCACAACGAACACAACTATATAAAAAAGATTTCACTTTACATCTTGATATTTAGAGAATAAAAGGCATGGTCCAAGTTCTGGAAGATTTATCTGCTCGTAAATTTCAGTAAGAGAACTTACGTTACTCATAGTTTGTTACTCAACCCTGACTGGATGTTAATAGCCTACCAGAAGAAAAGTAAAACACAAGAATCTTTCACAAGTTTCTGGGCTGAAGTATATAAAAATAAACTAGCTAATGCGAGAAAAATCATTTCTTGTTTACCATAAAATAAGCATTCAAACGTAAATTATGGATTTTTGTTTAAATCATGGACTTATTTCAATAGAAATAGTTTATCAACTTTTTCTAGTAGCTTTATGGTCAGAAAAGACTCAGTCCCACTAACTGCAAGATCCCATAGTATCTAAACTCAATACCAAATGCAAAATTAAAGTGAAACATACATCTAAATCGTAAAGTACACAAAATAGTTGATTATACTGAAAGCAAAAATACTTTTTAAACACAATTTCATGACATTCCTCACCGTGTTTCGGAGTTGTCGGGTCGTGTTCGAGAAGGGCAAGGTCTACAAAACTGCTCAACGGGTATATTGTCTTTAAACCTTTCTTCTAGAAACATAAAAAGTATCGAAACTTTATCAAACATTCAAACGACAAATTATAAACACAATGTTTCCAGAAATAACAGCATAAGTATGACAATCTGTGAAATTTGTAATTATTCTTAATTTGACTTACGAGATCATACGTAATGAAAAGTTTACCTTTGATTCCATTACTACAAGATGAACAAGTTCCGGTAATATTTTCAAAAGAATTACACGTAACACAATGCCAGCCATCAAGAGACGAGACCTGATATACAAGATATTATACGATTAACTCAAAAGTAATATAAATATAATAAGTTTAACAGTTTCATTTTACAACTGCTAAAGACCATTATATATATATATAAAAACATAGGTTTATAATCAGTAATTACTTTAAAAGAGGAGAGAAAAAAGATTTTGTTTTATTTTAGATACTTCTATTGTCCTACAAATAAATCTCCATTACCAAACTTATCTTGTAGGATAATCTTAAACAAGAACCCGGTGTAATAATATAACACAGGTTTATGAACTTAATAAGACTCCGGTGTTATAATATAATCACACAGGGGAACAAAAGTTTATTAGTCTCATTACTAATACCAAAAAAAAGAATTAACAATTAACTCTCTGATTACTGTTTATATAATTTTCACTACTGATTGATTTGTTTTGTTATAGTTAAGCACAAAGTTAGGAAATGGGCTATATGTTATATGCCCACCACTGGTATTAAAACCTGGTTTTTAGAGTTATAAACCTTCAAACATACCACTGATGAGATTTACATACTGAATAATTACATTCTGGTCTGTTACAGCACATGGTTTAAAAACACAACCAACTAAATCGGGTGAAATTGTTCATTCTCTAGGTAAAGTAAACAGGAAACCACAGCAGGACTTAGTTGGTTTAAATACAACATGGTATTTTGGGTTAATTTGGGTAACACTTGTAACAACTTATTATAAAAACTTATCTATGTTAGCTTGATACAGTTGCCCAGTAAGAACTGATGACAGGGGAGCACTTGTAACAACTTATTATAAAAACTTATCAATGTTGGCTCGATATTCTCTGATGACAGGGAAACACTTGTAACAACTTATTATAAAAATTTATCTATGTTAGCTCGATACAGTTGCCCAGTAAGAACTGATGTCAGGGGAACACTTGTAACAACTTATTATAAAAACTTATCTATGTTAGCTCGATACAGTTTCCCAGTAAGAACTGATGTCAGGGGAACACTTGTAACAACTTATTATAAAAACTTATCTCTGTTAGCTCGATACTGTTTCTCAGTAAGAACTGATGTCAGGGGAACACTTGTAACAACTTATCTATGTTAGCTCGATACAGTTGCCCAGTAAGAACTGATGACAGGGGAACACTTGTAACAACTTATTATAAAAACTTATCTCTGTTAGCTCGATACTGTTTCCCAGTAAGAACTGATGTCAGGGGAACACTTGTAACAACTTATCTATGTTAGCTCGA